CCAACGGCCCGGTGATCGGCCCCCCCCGATGACTTCTAATTTAAAGAAGGAAAACAAAATATTTACAGAACCAAAATAAAACCCAAAAATAAAAGGGGCAACCAACAAAAAAAAACAGGCCCCCGATGACTTCTAATTTAAAGAAGGAAACCCCTTAGCTTCTCCAACGCTCCATTGCTCGTGCGCCGTCGCTCGCTGGCCTCGATCCTCGCACCTTTTTGTCACAAGTCCAATGCCGTAACCTATAGGGCTAAGCCCAAGCCTGAGACCAGCGAGCGCGAAATCCTATATGAAACACTGCAGCACTATGCCTAGGGCTGAGAAAGCGGCCTAGGCCTCCTCCCTATCTGCGACCAAGCCCCCGCTATCGTCCACGCCGTCCTGCTCAAACTTTACTACGGCCGGCACACGCGCCATTCGGCCCACCAAACCCTATTGCTAGTCGGACATGCCGGACATAAGACAGAGAATTTGAAATCCCTACCTTAATCAGTAAATAAGAACCAGGCCGGCTGACTATGCCGGCCTCACGAACAGTACAAAGGGAAAAATCACATGCGCGCCTTAAAACTGCGCGCCCACACCTTCTCCACTCTGGTCAACCATCCAGTCATTGTAGACCACAGACACCGCCACGCTTCGCGTGGAATGCCTATACTTTAAGGCAAACGTATTTTCTGTCATTCGCAAAAACCAAAGCGGATACCCTTGTAACAGTATTCGCGCTGACAGCGGTGTATAGAATGTCCCCAAGGGAGTTAGAGGAGCTGCGAAAGCAATTGGACGAGCTCCTCGAGAAGGGTTGGATTAGGCCAATCCGTCTCCGTTTGGAGCGCCTGTTTTGTTTGTCCTCAAAAAGGAGGGAGAGTTGAGAATGTGCATAGATTATAGGGGTCTCAACGCCATCACGGTGAAAAATGCAGAACCGCTGCCTCAAATAGATCATTTGTTGGATCAATGTAGGGCTGCAGATACTTCTCTAAGATAGATTTGAAATCAGGCTATCATCAGATAGAGGTCCCATCCTGATGATCAGCACAAGACGGCGTTTAGGACCAGATATGGGCACTACGAGTTTATAGTAATGCCCTTTGGACTAACCAACGTGCCAGCTGCATTTCAGCGCCGTATGAATGACCTATTTAGGCCGTGGTTAGATAGATTTGTAGTTGTATATCTAGATGACATCCTAGTGTTTAGTAAGACCCTCCAGGAGCATCAGGGCCATCTAAGGCAGGTCTTGGAGAAGCTAAGAGAAGCTAACTTCAAGATCAATGCGAAGAAGAGTGAGCGGGCCAAGACACAGGTTTTATACCTGGGTCATGTTCTAGATGGAGATGGCATGAAGCCTGAGGACAATAAGATAGCAGCGATTAGAGATTGGCCGACTCCCCGCACGTTGACAGAGTTGCAATCGTTCTTAAGAGAAGCTAACTTCAATATCAATGCGAAGAAGTGTGAGCAGGCTAAGACACAGGTTTTATACCTGGGTCACGTTCTAGATGAAGATGGCATAAAGCCTGAGGACAGTAAGATAGCAGCGATTAGAGATTGGCCGACTCCCCGCACGCTGACAGAGTTGCAATTTGGAAGTAGGATAAAGATTGCACAACGGCCCTAAAGAAGTTAAAGCGCGCCTTTAATAGAGTACCGTGTCCTTAAGGTAGTCGATCCATCATTGCCATTCGTCGTCACCACTGATGCAAGTCAGTATGGCATAGGTGTTGTTCAGCAGCAAGACGATGGTAATGGATATAGACCCGTAGAGTTCATGTCTGCTAGAATGCCTTCAGAAAAGGTAGCGACATCAATCTACGAGAGGGAACTCCAAGCGTTAGAACACTGAAAGCACTACTTGCTTGGGAGGCACTTCAAAGTGTATTCAAACCACGAGCCGCTAAGGTGGCTGAAAACGCAGGCCAAGATGACACCAAAGCTAACTAGGTGGGCCGCAAAGATAGATAGGTGGGCCGCAAAGATAGATCAGCATGACTTTGAGCTCAAGCCAGTCAAAGGGAAACATAATGTAGTTGCGGACGCTCTGAGTAGGAGATCAGACAACTTCGGAGCGATAGTGCACTATCTGGATATAGGGAGAGACCTGCAACAGAGAGTCAAAGAAGCGTAAGCACATGACCCTATCTATAGCAACCTCCTCAAGAGAGTTAAGGAGGCACCAAAATCAGAACCAGATTACCGCACCACAGACGACTTGTTATTTGAGAAGACTAATGTTGTTGACTGCCTATGCGTTCCCAACAGTGAAGAGATCCGAAGCATGATCTCAGGGGAATGCCATGATACAGAGGGACATTTCGGTTGGCAGAAGACCTTAGCCAACCTCATGCGTACATATACCTGGCCTGGTATGAAGGTCGGCTGCATAGAATATGTACGCAATTGCGAAGTATGTCAAAGGAACAAGAGTTCTACACGAGCCCCTCGAGGTCTTCTAAGACCATTGCCAATTCCAGAAGGACCCGGGGATTCTGTGTCTATAGATTTCATGGACATTGGCGTCAAAAGTAGACATGGCAAGAGTCAAGTCATTGTCGTAGTAGATAGCAAGTACGCCATTTTCGTTCCTTTGCCCTCTGAGGCACACGTAGAGTTAGTAGTTCAGAAGTTTGTTGACCATTGGGTCAGCGAGCATGGTATACCGCTGTCGATAGTTAGTGACAGGGATACCAGGTTCACCAGTCAGAACTGGCAAGAACTGATGAACATTCATGGTTCAAAGTTATTAATGTCATCTGGCCTCCATCCTGAGACTAACGGCCAGACTGAATAGATGAACAAGCTCCTGCAGCAAGTTCTTAGGATGTACATTAGGCCCGATCAGATCGTCTGGGATGAGATGCTCCCAAAGGTAGCCAACGCATACAATAACAGCATGCACTTGTCCACGCGTCGCACTCCCAACGAACCACACATGTCCTTTAGACCGCGAAGACCATTTAAGGGACTTAACCGGGATCAGATTCAGAGGCTACCGCCCGGTACACGAGAGTTTGCGATACAGCACGAAAAAGAGATAGCTACCATAGTTGACAACCTCAAGAAAGCCCAGCACAGAATGATAGAGCAAGCTAATAAGCATCCTCGCCCCTCACAGTTTCAAGTAGGCGACTTAGTCTGGCTCAAGTCAGAAGAGTTTGCTCCTGAGGAGAACATCTCCCAGAAGTTGTTGCCTGCGTATAGAGGACTGTGGCCAGTCCTAGAAGTCAAGGGCGGAGAGGATGGACCGTCCTACACTGTTGAGATTCCAGCACACCTCCACACCTACCCAGTGTTCCATTCGTCAAAGCTGTTGCCTTGTCAACAGTTTCCATCACGCAGATCCATGATCCCTCCAGATATGGATGGAAGATACGGCATTGATGGTATAGTAGGTGAGGACATCTTCAAGACAGGAGGTAGGGGTCGTCCGCAAAAACAGTACAAAGTCGGATTTTCCTTTCAGGAGCCAGAAGACGACCGCTGGTTTACACGTACAGAACTTCTAGAGACAGCTCCCGACATAGTCAGAGCCTACGAAATAAATAAGAAGGGTAAAGGTCCTGCCTTAGACTGAAGTATTCTCGGAGGACCTCAAATTTAGGCCGGCGGGAGTGAAACGGTTTTCACCTTTCTGCAGTCATAGATGTGGCCACTAGAGTTTGATCCCCAAACCTTACCTTGCCCATGTACAGTATCGAGTTGACCCCCGAGTGTTTGAACCCGTGACCTGTACTTTGGTTATCGTTTGATGTCTCTCGGAGGTCTGTGTAGTTGTAGGGGTTCGATCTGTAGATCTGATGAGTAGGGGTCACAGCCTTGTAGAGGTCGCAGCTGCTACAGTCCTGAAAGGTCAAGGAAGTAGCTGCAACAGTGTTCGAAAGGCCAGCACCACAGACTTCCGGAAGGTCCGGAAGTAGCCTTTCGAAGTTGGCTCACGTTTAGACAGAGGCAAGTGGGCAAGTGGTGAGCCCAACTGCGTTACGTCGGCAGTGCGACTGCATCGAGTTGGCAGTGCAAACCCATGGAGTCGACGGTACCAGTCCCAGTCAGTCATAGTCCAGTCAAGCAAGTACCTTGTGGGACTGTGTGCACCACGGGCATGGAAAAGGGGCAGACCAGCAAGTTACAAAAGTATAAATCAAGAGGCAGCGCCCAGCCATTGATTCATTCGCTGCGTAAGCCATGCGGAAGTGCTGCTACAACGTCTTGTGCGAGGTGGTCTGCATGTTGCCCGAAGTTGAAGTGGGCTGAAGTGAGACTACGTAGCCATAGTTAGTGTTAGTAGAGCAGCCATAGCCGCTGTAAGAGGTAGTTAGGCAATAGTGTGTAAGTGTGTCAGAGAGGAATGTGTGTGGGGTATTCAGGATGATCCAGAGTTAAGTGAGTGTGAACAGTGGTGTTGGGAACAGAATCGAGGGTTGGATGTGCAGGCGCTTATGCGCCATAGCCTGTGGAAGCAAGTTGCATCTGAACTGAGTTCTCGATTTCCGTATCTCTGAGTTTTGAAGTGGGCGCTGTGCGCCAGTGTGAATCGCCATCCTTTTGCATGTATGTGAAGCAAGGAAGAAAGTGAGTCTGATTGCACGACAAGTGCCGCAGTCTATAATGGTCTGTCCGCTGACACTTGTTAATTTATCTTCTAACACTGATTGTTGGCCTTGGGATTTTCTTGTGCTATGATATGCTGGCTTAGAACCATTCGTCCAAAAAAATGGTATAACATGGGTGCCAGCTCTTCTCCATGTGTTTCCTGGCATACTTTTGATGCAGCTTGGAGTTATGCCATCGCGGACGTCAAATTACCCCAGACACACACATGTCTCTGCTCAACCATTTGCCAATCTCTCTCTCTCTCTCTCTCTCTCTCTCTCTCTCTCTCTCTCTCTCTCTCTCTCTCTTTGTGAGAGAGAAAATAGACCTTTCTAAGCACACACTCATTGTGTCAATGATCACTTTCAAGAAAGAGCCGGCCAGGTTGGAGAGGTCACAAAACAACCTACCGCAGGAACAACTGCAGACGATTCTTATTTGCTTCATTCTCCACGGAAAGCAGATCAGGTAGAAGTGACAGGAACTGGTTCTTGCACTTGGCAGCAGATTCTAGATCAGCTTCATGCAAGTACAGAAGCACCAATCTGAACACTACCCTTGGGCATTTCTCGCCTCTCATCTTCATTGCCTTGTCAGAGCCCTTGCTAGTGATACCGCTAATGCCACCACCAACCACAGCACCAAAGCTGCCAGATACAGCAGCTGCCACTTCTGCAGCAGGTGCATTGATGCTCTCAACCAGGCAGCGAGCCCGTTGCCCAATTGTCGGTGGAGGAACCAAACCCGCAAGACCACTTCCACTAGCAACACCACTTGAACCTCCCATAAGCACAACACTGTCACTGGCGGCAAAAGCTGCACCCCTCGCTCTTCCATTCATCATTTCCAGCAACACCCACACCTGATTGTACAATCGCCAGCACTTGTCTCGGCTAATACTGTGCGACGATGCTCCAACTGTCTCCTTGTGCCATCCCCGTGCACTCTCACGAATGCCAGACATCCTCCTACTGCAATTCATTACAAAAGAACAAGTGGTAAGCGTGACAACCACATGCACAATCACAACTTACAACTGAAAATCATGATTCCCATTCACATTGATATCCTCCTCCAAAAGGGGGACCGTATTGCCCATCACAGAAAATATGATGCGCGACTGAATCTAAATGAGCTGAATGCTGAGCTCAAACAGAAGCCCACACCCCTTGCAAGAAGAGCTCATGAGTTACTAATCTGACCCATGGCACAGCTCCTGCCTTAGAAAGGATCTGCTTGAGCCCTTTTAACTCCTTGGAATCGTATGCTACCCAACCATGTGCCCCTGATAAACAGTAATACATTAAGCGATAAATGAATGGTGAACACTGGAAAGCACATTATATCAAATACTGAATGAATTTGCCTGAAGATTGAAATCCGGAATCGCAAGCACTAGAAAGCCTACCTGCATATGGGGGGCGGCAGCTCCTGTGCTGTGGAGGCAATCTGATCACCCAATGAGAATCGGCGAGAGCCAGGCTTCAGCAGCGAAGCAAGGCCATAACCACCACCGGACAGCGAGATACTGTCTTTGTCTTCTGGTCGTGTATCACCCACTGCCTAAATCATTTTGAATCCAGCCAAGACCAACAACATGGTGGAACACAATGAGAATTCCCAGAACGAAGCAAGGTTCAAAACACATCGACATTGTTACTTTATCATGACCAACGTCACTTTGCTGTTTCATTTCTTCAATGCGGCGACTGTTGCCCACTTGAAGCTGCTCCCAATGTACATAAAATAAAGCAAATACATACAGCATGAAGAACTCGATCATAACGTTGCCAGACCACACAATTAGACTCAGCCAGAGCACAAGCAGGAACTAAACCGATACTGCCAACTTCAAAAGCTGTGAAATACATCGGCCTGTGCCTCTCGAGTTTTCTCAATCCTTTACCCTCGTATCTGGCACGTACCAAAGTCAAAGGAAGAAGTAGAAGGGAGGAGGATGAGGAGGAGAAGAGGGAGGAGGAGGGGTGAGAAGAAGAAAGGAAGGAAGGAAGGAAGGAGGAGGAGGAGGAGGAGGACTTTCTACGTGATCAGAACTAGGAAACTCCACTGTATGCGGAAAACTCCTTCAATAGATAGAATGAAATGAGGAGGAAGAAGAAGGGAGGAGGAGGAGGAGGTGGAAGAGGAGGAAGTTGGTGGGGTTATCATGAGCTAGGTTGGGTGGTTGGAGGTTTTGGGATCCCGTAGAAAATCCATCTTTGATGCCTTTGGTAATAGCTACAGCTTGTATTCATTTAGTCACTTCATTTCGGTTCTATTCTCGGACCTTCTTTCTAAACATTGTTAACTTTTTATTCAGCTTTTTTATTCAGTCTTTTAGGAAGAGGAGGAGGAGGAGGAGGAGAGAAAGGAGGAGGAGGAGGAGGAGGAGGAGGAGGAGAGAAAGGAGGAGGAGTAGGAGAATGAGAGAAAGAAGAAGAAGAAGAAGAAGAGGAGGAGGACGAGTCTTTTAGGTACAAGAGAAGGAGGAGAGGAAAAAAGGAGGAAAAGGAGACGACGATGACGACGACGAAGAAGTCTTTTAGGTACAGGAGGAGGAGGAGAGGAGAAAGGTGGAGGAAAAGACGAAGACGAAGATGACGACGACGACGAACGAGGAGGAGGAGGAGGAGTCTTTTAGGTACAGGAGGAGGAGGATACGAGAAAGGAGGAGGAAAAGAGGGAGACGACGACGACGATTCTTTTAAGAGGAAGAAGAAGAAGAAGAAGAAGAAGAAGAAGAAGAATGTACTTCTTTTGAAACTCGCAGATCACGAGTTCAGTTGGGGCATGCGGTGGCAATGGAATCAGATTGAGGAATTTCGAAAAGCGATCAACAATCACCATCACTTGTGAATAACCATTATTACTTATCTTTCCCATGTCCATGAAGTCGATAGAGAAACTCTCCTGGACCGTCGAGAATGGGAAGAGGTTTAAGCAGCCCCATGGGCTTTTGTCTTGATGGTTTGATTCGTTGACAGACTTGACACTCAACCACAAACGTTTAACAGATCCTGTCATACTAGGCCAATCAAACTGTCTCAATAGGTTTCCGTCATGTCTTTGCCATGCCAAAGTGTCCACTCCGGCCGTGAGCAAAGTCCAAGAGGTGCGTGCGGAGAGGCTCATGGTTGGGTACACACAAACGGTCATTATTTCCATAGCGTCGAAAAATGAGTCCTCCATATTCGTGAATCAGGCTAACTGTTGGGGTCAGCCCGCACCTCCTCAAGGAAAGTCCTGATCCTTGGCAGTTTGTTCTTTGAGCTTCCCCTTCAGTTTCTTCCTGAGGTCGTAGGAGTTCACAAGGCAAGTCATGTACTCGGGGTGGCGATACAATGCATCGGCAACTCGATTGATCTGAGAAGACTTTGAAGTGGCGTCCCAAAAGATGATGCTTCCAGAAGTTCCAGTGATCCAGAGCCATGTGAAAGGCATAGAGCTCGCGCATGTAGGTGGAAGTAGCTACCTTTCCGTTGGGCATGCGATTGCTGTAGTACTCGACTGGCCGCAAGCCATCGCCGTCATATTATTGCAGCACTGCGCCATTCCCATACTGGCTCGCATCCGTAGTCATTACGAATGTCAGTTTGGAATCTGCAATACGGAGTACAGGGTAACCTACCAACGCCTCTTTCAAGGATTGAAATGCGGTCTCACATGTTGCATCCCACATCTAAGATATGTTCTTGCTTGTTAATCGTGGCACAAACTTCCGATCGTATGATGCAAGCCCAAGGAACGAACGCAATTCGTGGATGTTCGCGGGTTGAGGCCAATCGTGTATGACCTCAACATTGGTTGTCTCTGGCTCGAGGCTTGCAGCACACAATCGATGCCCAAGATGGATGATGTTGTCCCTCCCTAACTCGGATTTCTCTAAGTTGAGATGGAGTTGCGTTTTCTTGAGGATGGTGAACACTTCCTCAAGGTACTTCATATGTTCCTCGATGGACTTGCTAAAAATCAGTATGTCATCGAGGTACACAACCACAAACGGACCAATTTGTTCGTGGACGACTTTGTCCATAAGACTTTGGAAGGTGGTCGGGGCGTTCGTGAGAGCGAAGGGCATTACGGTGAATTCTTGAACGCAGTCTTGTGCTGGTCCGCAGGACCGACTTCAATCTTGTGGCATCCAGACTTGAGTTCGATCTTGGAGAAGACCTTGCACCCACCTGCAGCATCAAACAAATCATCTATGCGTGGCAATGGGTATGCATTCTTCCTCGTGATGCAGTTTAGACCGCGATAATCAATACACATGTGGAGTTTGCCGCCTCTCTTTGGAACAACCAAAACGGGTGCACCAAATTCAGATTCACTAGGCTTAATCCATCCCTTGTCGATCATCTCATCGATCTGTTTCTGGAGTTCCTCCAACTCGCCGGATCCCATACAGTCTACACAACCTTTTGAAGGAACAACACCTTGAACAAACTTGAACGTGCATCAGACCGATCGTGTGAGGTTCCGCCAGAACTTTCGAAAATCGGTGGAGTAGGTTTTGGATGTTGGTTGGGACCGGTGGGGGTGGAGGATCAGCAAAAGGATCACCTAGATCAGGTCACTAAGTACAAATACAGGCAACCCAATCTTAAGTAGAGTCATTTGGACCAGAGGTAGGTAAAAAGTAAAAGTGCTAGAAGTAGATTCATTAGGTAAAGTAGAACTAGTACTAGCCGCAAAAGTAGTAGGTAGTAGGGCGAACGAAGGCAACATACAATTGTTCGTCCTCCTTGTGCTTGCGCCACTTCTTGCAAAACTGCATGGCATTGAGAAAAGTCACTGGGGACTCGTGATTCTCATCCAAGAGGACGGGAAACTCGTTCCCTTGAGCGTCTTTGACCATGAAAAGTGGCTCCTTCCACTTGGTCCATTCGCATTGGGACTGCAACCATCCCAAGGCAAGGACTGCATCGAAGGGACACTTGTCAAGGACAAAGTTCAATGCGTGGTCAAAGGTAGTGCATTTTCTTTTGACTACATGCGTGGATGTGACAACTTTTGTGTTGCCTACTTGAGTCTGACAAGCGTTTTGCAAAGCCACTTGCTTCATTCCCAAGCCCACTTTGCGTATCTCGTGCGGTGGCATGAAGTTAATAATAGCACCACAATCAATCAAGACACAAATATAGCGGTGGTTTATGAGAAGTTTGAAGAAGATTAACTTCATTGTCCCTTGAGCACACTGATGTTTCATCTCAGCCCAATGCTCTAGGTGATAGTGAAAGTCGACCTTCTTAGACTCCTCCGAAGGCTCAACATACAAAGCATGACAAACTTCAACCTTGGAATCAGCAGACGATGGGGTTTCAAGAGAGAGCTGCTAATCTACGCAAGTTTTAGTCTCCCTTGCTGTAAAGGGTGCTGATGTCAACTCTACGCCCCATTTTGGTTTCCCTGCACCTATAACAATCTTGGACTTTGTGATTCGGTTTCAGGCAATGCAGGCATAACCTTTTCTTGAGCCTAATCCTCCAATCATTTTTAATGACCCAGAGGTCAACCCAAGGTTTGGTGGTTGCATCCTCTGGTTTTGCTGGGATTTTGACTCCCTTGGGAAGTTGGACATAGTTCTTCTCTGAATTCCTATTCGATCTCTTTGCATTCGCAATCTTTTTAAAGGCAGTATTTTTTTCTCCTTCGTGGTTTGCATCAGACTCATGGGTTGATGAGGAACAGGTTGTATCAGCGTTCTGTTCTTGGTCGTCACCAAGAGTGGGGTCATCTACATAGGCCTCCCCTTCGGCCTCCAACGGGTCGTGCACAACAAAATGGTTGCTTCCTCTGAACCGCCTGCCGCCCATCGACTTTTTGCCGCCTGCTGTGAACCACCTTGAGACTGACTACATCCTTCATTAAGGTGAATCAATCTGTGATTCCAATAAGTCCCTGCCTAGGCGATTTGTAAAGGTACGCGCCTCTCACTACATCTAAAAATGATTGGTTAGTCATTTCTAATCATGGGGTGGCAAACATCTTGCTAACGTAGGTTTGAAGGTTTTTCATGGCGCTCGGCCACTTGCTACGTTTGATATTGTCAAGTTGGCTATTTGCCCTTGCAATAGTCTGTGGATCCATATACTGTGTGATTATAATTTCTTCAATGGTGGCAACCATGGTGGTTTTAGGCCACCATGTCAGTTCTATCTTCGGGACCCCAACTACGTAGCTTTGGACCATGGCCCGTAACATCAGCCGCGGGCGATGAGCCCGATGCCCCTTTATTTGTGATCAACATCCCCCCGCATCTGATGGTCCATCCAGTCTTTCACGCCTCGAAGCTGGCAACATATACACACCCATCCATTCTTTCACGCCTCGAAGGTGGCAACATAAGAGCGACGACTTCCCGGGCCGACGATCGCAGGACCCTCCATCTATGGATGGTCATCAGGAAGTTGACCGCGTCATCACGGATCGCAAGTACGTCAGCAAGCCGCGACAGTACAAAGTTACATTCAAAGCATGCGATCCCGACGACACTCGGTGGATTTCAGGAACAAATTTAAAGGCATCTGCACCGCTGATCTACGCTCACTACGAGCGACAAAGGT